TTACAGAAAATTAGGAGTAGTAATAATTTCTTATTGTAATCCATACTAACCCATATATCGTTAGTTGTTGGAAGAATATTCATGGAATTTGAGACTTGTTTTATTTTCTTCTAAGAGTCTACTTTCATCATGTATACAGGGGTAGCCCATCGTTCATGCTTTCTTTGTATACTAGAATAAAACTACCTAAGTCAGAATACATATTTTATACAATTTTGTTGTGAATATGGGAGGATTGATTCAGTCTCATGAAATTTTTCCTGTTATCATATTCGATAAATGATTATTTTAGTCTTACATAATCGACATTTTGGTTATTTTGGATTTTCTATTTTTATAATCAGTGATAGAACCAGTAGTGTAACTGTAAATTGTCTCTCAACTCTCTAAGATTGACTAAATGATACTTAACTACTTTGATTAAAAGAAGTGAAGTTTTGATTAACCAACATTGGCTGGATGAAATGCAATAGCTGATCTTCTATGCTATTTTTTATTAATAAAAGTAGGTAGAACATTAGGGATTTCTTGTTTATTTCTTTTTTTTTCATAAACAAAATTGATAATTTAGAGTTTTAAAATTTAAATTTCTGAAAAAATAAACTTACCTTCTATTTCACCACGAAGGAGGACATCAGCTAGCTGCTAGTATTAAATTGTCAAACAATCTGAACCACAGGATCTACCTCTTTCTAGCTGATTGTTACACTTATAAAATTTTTGAAAATAGTAATTGTTTGAATTTCAGGCAATCTTTTACATGAGTATCCAGACAAGGAAACAATAGTCAATAAATTGAAGGTAAAAGTGAAAAAAAAAGATTTGAATCTTTCTTACTTTTGTTTTAACTAGATCTTTTTCAATAAAAGTGTTACATTAGTTTGAAGCTCAAGATGCACTATTAGATGATTTAATATTTAAACTTCCACATATCATGTCATTGAGAAATATTGAATTCAAACAATAAAAGTTTTGCTGACGTACTGTTAATTATTACAGGTGGGAATGAAGGGGCGACAAGGTAGACGCGTGTAAAACTTCATTACTACCCGTAAAAGTTTGAGCTTGTGCCACCTATGTCTTTCATGGTGCTCCTGGCATTCTCGATACTTAGCACATCCGACGTAACAAGCCCAATAATCAAATTAGTAGCAAAAACTTCCGTTTGTCTCACGAAATTACAGAAAAAGATTGTACTTACTTTTCTAAAGTTTTTTGCGGCTTCATGAACATGATTGTTGTTTATCACATCACCCGATAGAACATAAACAGATAGAAGTTGAGGCCAATCATGAATTTGTGCCAGAATCTCTTTCACAAAAGTAGTTGACAAAATTAAGATTATTTTCTCAGTTCTAATGCCGTCTATGTAGGTAATACAATCTTCTTTCTTAATAATAAATCTTGCGTATGATTGATTATTTCACGTAGTTTTGATTGAATCTTCAAACTATTTCCATCATCGTCACTCACATCGTTATACAACTATACAAGACAAAATTATTTAAGATTTTGTCTAAGACGTATACAACCAACACTCATTGCTGTTGATTGTTGAAGAAATTCAACAATGGACAAAAATTGAACTGCCAACTATATCTAAATATTAGATCATCATTTTATTTAAGAAGGTCACATTATTTATTTCTTTTATCATTAGTAAATACTGATGCTTATTTACCATGAATTTTATGGAAAAGAACATGTCTATTTGTTACACAGATCAATATCATGTATACAAGGATCAATGAGAGACATTATGATGATGATTTGAATCTTTGATGAAAGGTCTCTTGAATCACTTGTATTTCGAGTCTATGTCTATCAAAAAGGCCTTTGAAAAACGAGGAAGATATATGTGGAGTAATCAGGGTGTGAGTGTGAAGGCAAGAAAAACATCACTCAAACTCACAAGGAGCGTTACTTCCTTGTAAATTTTGACTGAAACTTATCGAAATCGAGAAATATCAATCTATAATCTACTTCTCAAAGCTCGTCACTCTGATTGATTGTTATACAAAATGATGATTTCTCTCAAATATCCTGCCCCTATCAAGATATCAATATGATGAGTTTTTTGAAACCAATTAACAAACTCACATTTGTCTACGTCGAGAAACTTTTACTGAACCTTATGAAAATCCATTATCTGCTGAAAAAAGCTTCCCTCGACAAGGAATTAGAGTGCTTAGTTTTCAAATGCTCATTACTAGGTAACTGGTATCAATGCCGCTACCAGTTACCTAGTAACGTAGCCGACTGATAACATCAACTTCCCTCACCTAGTAATGTTATAGATTGTATCCAAGAGATAACATTGATAGCATGACCAACTAAAGTATGAATGTTATATTTCATGGCTTTGTACAACTGAAGTAATACACTGTTTCTTGAAAGAACTCGGTGATTCATTGATGTATTAAACGCATCGGTTTTTCTCTGATTTAGTTATGACTTTGGAACAATCGGTTGATTTCAAAGAATCGGAGATGGTTCTAATTGAATCCACAACCAAAAATCATACCTGCACTGAAATTACTATAATCTTAGCCCACATATACACTTTATCTGTCAGCCTCAAAGAAAACTAATTTATTAAAAAGTGAATAATGAATACATTCGATCGACCGAATATTCAGCATAGAATAACTCATTGAATCGAAGCTGAATAGAGAAATATATGACTCGTTGAGGTCTCAGCTTCAGAGTCAGCTATTTAGCAGAAAATATGATTATGTAAATCGTGGGCTTGAAAGAACTTGCTTCTATAAGAGTTAAGCACCAAAAGCATTTCATTAGATAAAGTTTCGAGCTAGAGAAACTTCATTGTAGAAGACGAAGATAGCAAAAAGTTCTGATTGGCTGAAGATCTAGTTTTTAGAAACCTAATTGGACAATAAGCAAATGACTAAAAAAATTTGATGAGATTTTGTCATTGAATCTAGAAGTCATCAGCAAGGAGTGGGTATCCTGAAGGTATCGACATACATGTAAACACATCACTAAACGCACCTAAGCAAACGAACAAATGCATACACATATATTACTGTCATACGAACTTCCCTTCCATCAAGAAAATTAGTGAATACTGTATCCACTTATTCATAAGTAAAGTAAAGTTAAATTGTGTTCTCTAGTAGAGACAACTCTTAGCCACCCGCTAAAGAACGATGAAGAGCATCCTCATAGGCTTAATAAGATCGACCAATCAGTTCTCATCAGAGACCATTATAGACTAGACATGCAGCGTTGCCGGCGAATAATCGCTTCACTGTCACCGATGAAACAGCTCCTGGTAAGGACCACTCATCATCATCGTTGCATAACTATTATGAACAGCTCCCTAGATTCAAACAATTACAGAGCTGCAGTATCCCCTGCTAAATACACCATTCACTTTTAGAAATAACTACGCAACTATTATAGTTACTGTTTACAAATAACTATGTTATCATTGTACTTAATTTGTTGTATTTATCCAAATGGATTTCTAAAATTTTTCTACTTGATTTTTTCAATAAAGAAAAGGTTTTGAAGGAAAATAACGACTTTTTATTACGTTTCACTAAAGGTTTTTGATTTACAGTATACTTGACCGAAAAATGAACTTCATAATTCCAAGTTCCACTAATTCCGACCAGCCGTAAGATATGGATATAATCTGAATTGAAATTCAACACTCATAAGTGTAAGTGACCTATGGTGAATATGCACTCTTGAAGTCGTGCTTTTTTCTCCTTGTTTAGATCGCATTATTGAAATAGTGTGAGTTTAATTTTTCATAATCATATTATTCAAACCCATTTTTGAACTCTTTATAATTCTTACATCACATCCTCAAGTATTAAATATTGAACAATCGATCAAACCATTTAATCATTAATTAATAATAATGACTACTTCCAAAGACATCCCAGGTCGAACAAGCACGTTTATCAATTGTCGTAGATTGGTGCACTATCTGGCTCACTATTACAAAGATGGGTCAATACAGATCTCCTATTCTTCGTCTTAGCATAGTAATCCTCGGTTGAGTTTAATCCGTATGCGAAAGTGTCCTTTTTTTAAGAAAGACGATCTAAAAGGAGTCTCGAAGTATAGGGGTGAAAATTTAAACTCATCCTCGTTTCCTCAAATCGTGTCGAATGCCTTATCAAAGTCACCCTCCCGCTCTGCTTCATAGATCGTGCAAGACGTTGTTGATATACAATCAAAGCCCATATATCACTAGTGTTTCGTTATGATATCTGGTCGTCCTCCTTCTTGCATTTATCGAGAATTAAATAAAAGAATAATGAAGAAATTTATCCCATAATAAAATCTTCCTGTAATAAGCAACCGCAACTAAATTAAGCTTCACATTTAAACTTATGGCCTCTTTATAACATATATTCTTACTTTTTCTTTTTATTCTTTCAACACAAATGAGAGACCTTTTTATCGAGTGAGTATTCGTTTTTATTAATAGATTAAATATATTGATAGAATATATAAGGAAAATGTTAAAAGAAGAAAAAAACTGTCAATTTCTTAGGGAATGTGTCAACTCGTCACGTTTTTTCTTGTCTGGTTTTCGTAACGAATTGACAGTACGAAAGCCCGTGACAGAGCTTTCGTAACGACAGAATCAGGGCTTTCGTAACAAAAAATCAGGGGTTTCGTAACAAAGTTTACAGGATGATCGTAATTGGTGTTTTAATATGCATTATTACAGAGCTTTCGTAACGAAAAGCATGTAATTTCTGCAAACTCAGTTCAGCTATCACCCTTATCCTCATTACGAAATCCCTGTTGGTCCGTTGCGAAAGCTCTGCAACTGTTACGAACTCCCTGTATTAATCGTTACGATTGCCCTGCAAATTTCGTTACGACATCCCTGTATTTTTGGATATCCCTATTTTTGGTGTTACGAAAGGTCTGATTTTTGCTGTTTGTTCAACTCGTCACGTGACGAGTTGAGACGTTCTCATTTCTTATAGTTTATCAGAATTAGACGGGTTTCATGTGGTGCAATACCGTGGATAAATCCAACAGCAATAGCAACTAATTGTTTGTAAGTAATAGACATAATATCCATTACAATTGGTTGCAAGAATTGAATTAATTGAATAGGATGGATGGCATAAATATCCGCTATAACTAGTGCACAAGGTACCGGATGTTGTTGCACCAATAGTTGATGGATGAGTACCATTCCACCAACCCGGAGTATTTGTACTACAATAACCTGTACTAACAGGGTATGTAAGTAATTGAGTTCCTGCCGCTCCAGTTATTCTATACCAAGTAGTAGACACAGTAGAGTCACAAGGGCAACAGCCACTAGTATAATTTGATAGACGTGATATATCAGTCAATGTGCTGTAACTAGTACATTGAGGAGGTAAACTGAGTGCCGTTGAGATTGTTGCTAAAAGCAAAAATATTTTATTCTTAGACGAAACAAAACAAAAAAAAAACAAGTATTACTAGCTGCTGTGCTGGTTGTTGCACTATTGGATGCTGTTGGTAAATTCATTTACAAAAAAAATACATAAGATAAAATTAGAAATATGTTGAGAAACTTACATAATAATGCATAAAAAGTAACAATAATACCCAAAGGAACTGCAGTGATTATAAGACCGAGAAGAAAGCCAAGAACACGGCTTACGCTTATATATTCTAGGCCTGATTTTGATCTAATTTCAAGTAAAACAAATCAATTATTTCTTTCTATAATAAATATTTTTCGTTTACCCTGTTTCGATGTCGGTTGAATTAGGTTTGGATGGCCTCGATGGTTTTGTTTGATACTGTATTTGTTGCATTTGTCGTTGATCAATATTGTATTGTGGATAAACTTGAGCAGTATATTTTTGATATGGTACGAGAGCATTTTGTGTTGACATAGACAATGAAGGAGCATTTCTCATTGATTGTGATGGATCCATGGATTTCGGAGGATCACTTGTATCCCAAACAGTTATTCGACGGCCTGTATTGTAATCATCAACCATTCTTTGTTAATACACAATGGAATGTGCTATTGTGAAAATTTTCGATTCTTTAATTATGAATGTGAAAAATTGTGTTTGTATTGTATCTGTTGCTTCGAATCGATACATCAAAATATATATGTTTGGACTTCTTTTTATAAGTCATCGTTGATTTTTCATTTTCTTTGAAATAACAAGTCAAAATTTAATAGATCTAGAAATGGATGGATGACAAAAATAGCATTCCTTTCAATCACGTCGAATGTAGATGCATTATAAAGAGAACTTTTTTTTCTGGAGAAGAGATTTCTTGTTATTATTTCAGTTTGGCTAGCATGTGATTTGAAATTATGAAAGAAATACTTGTTCATTAAAAATATTCTATAAGAGAAGAGTTAATAAGTATTGATTTATATATCAGTGTTTAATCTCAGTGAATTTTTCTTTAAAAAGTTTGAATAAATATTTTATATGAAGACGTTTGTTTTTCTATGATAATGTCAATATATTTAGTTCGATATTCACTATATACCAAATATAGAATAGGGATATTATAAGTATTTATTCATGTCAAAATGTATTTTACTGAATTGTCTCATGGTTATTTCTGTTTCGAATATGAAAAAATTCATTGACTGTTTTTACAAGTTGTCTCGTTTTTCTTGACTTCTGATTTTTCTCATTTTCTTTTTTTTTCATTCTAATAGAAAATCGAAAACTTGTCTGAATGTAATCATTGAGTATTTGAATTGAAGGAAATATTATTTTGATAAGAGTATATATATTTATTTATTTATTTATTTGAATAAGATAAAGTAAAGCGAATTAAACTGGAAAAAAGACTTCAAATGAAGAAAGTTAATTTTTTTTTTGTAATGTAAATATAATTGAATTAATATGTTGTACAGTATCGTATACCGGTAGTAGTCATTGGAATTAAATAAAAGACATAATAACCGTTGCAATTTGTAACAGAAATTGTTGTAATGTACGGAGAATAACATAAATTACCACTCCATTGTACACAAACCGTGCCTGTTATAGTAGAACCTGCAGTTGATGGAAAAGTACCATTATATCAAGTTGGATATGGAACACCACATGATCCATAACTAGAAGGCGTTGTTGCTAGTCGAGTTCCAGCTGTATTCATAAATCTATACCAGCCTGTTGTAAAACTTCCACTTGTATCAGAAAAACAATTAACGCAACTTGTATAAGTTGTAAGACGTGTTGAATCCGAATTCGAAATATATGATGTACATTGTGATGGAAGACTGACAGAACTACTCGAAGAATCTAAAGAAAAAAATTATTTGATTTTTAAATAGAGAGAGAGAGTTTTAATTGGTCAGCAGTACTACCTGAACTGCTACTAGATGATGCCTCTAAATTTAATCATAAAAATAATAATTATAATAATATATAAAATGAAATTTACTTTTTTGTACATATAAAGCCGACGTAACAGCCAATGGAATACCACAAATAATAAAGCCAATAAGAAATGTCATTATACATTTTGTTGTTACATATTTTTTACAAGATCCTGATTGATTCTCACTGAATAATAAAAAAAACAATTCCATTTTGCTATCTATAAAAGAATAAGACAAATCTAACCTGACAGTTGAATCCGAAATAAAAGGTTCTTGAGAAGCTTCTGTTGTCCATGCTTGATATTTTTCTTGTTGAAATGGTTGGACTTGTCGTTCATCGACAACACTATATTGAGAACGAATTGGAGAAAACTGTGATGATATTGGTACAACTTCAGTTGATGTTCTCATTCTTATAAATTATTTATTTTATGTTCGACTTAGAGATTGATCAAATGAATCGCATGAAGTTGCTTTTACGAAAGATATTTTTGTATTATGAATATGAGAATTAATGTTTTTTTTCAATCTATTGATTGAAGTTAATATACAGCATAATTTGTTTTTATTTTCATACATTGTAGATCTTCATATTCGCTTAATAATATCGATCAGAAATATGTCTACCATTCATATAATAGATTTTTTCTTTTTTTGAAATAACAAAAACTCAACATTCACACAATAAAAATAAATATCCGACGGAATTCATAATTGATTATAGAATGCCAACAATGATTAAAAAAAGAAATTCAACTGCATTGTGATTCTCGTGATCTTTAGTTGTGTAACATGTTGGCAAGAAAATTGCATTGTTATTTTTCAATTGAAACCATAGAATATTTTATTGAAAATATTGTTAGTTATTAAGTATTTTTTTTATTGCGTTCATTCTCTTTTATGAATAGAAGTTTGAGTAGCCGAAATAGAAGCGTCTTACAATTCTTATTATACTAATTACATCATTGATCGCGCAATTAATATTCAAGCATCAAGCCGAACCGAACGGAGCAAAAACTCGTTTTGACCAGAGGAACATTGCGAGAAAATTTGTGAGAAAAGCTATGAACGCGCTGTATGTCAGCAGACGAGCATGTTTCAAGCTATTTCATCTGAACGCCTCGACTTGGGTCACTAAAGAGTCACAAATTCGATAGCCGAATATTAAAGTTCAATATTTATTTAAGATGAATGAAATTCAAGCTAGCATTATCAATTCAGATCTAACTAATTAGGGCTGCTACGAACGAGAAAATTCACCCAGTTCATATATAGCCTTTGAATCAGAGCAATGTACATCATAAGACTCCTAATCAGTTATTAATATCATAAAAAAGTTCGAAGAGTTGTGGGTGGAGGTCGCGATGTGAGTGTGTGTTGTATAGGTACATTCTTAACGTCAATGTATTTGACTTAACAAGATCCACAAAATAGACCCGACACTTTCACCTCGCCCCACCTCTACATCCAAAGAAATTATAGTTGCCAATTTGCTTAGAACAATTTATTTCTTATTGATCATCTAAGACAAGACATCGCATTTCAATGCTTTTCTGTTCGACATTCATTAGTGGTACATGCTGATTGATAAAAGCGGTATAAAAACCAAACTGGGCGATATCGAGCTTGCTATCAAATATTTTAATAAGAAACATTTCATTGGATTGCATCTCACTCAGATAGTACCATTTTTGGAAGTCTGGAATTTTGCACGAAATCGTGTAGACCAAGCCAGTATTCGGAGAACCTCGTACTTCGAGTGGATGCACATCATTTTCAGTATCAACGGAACCATAGTCACAAATGGGTAACAGTTTGTTTGTTATGGTATTAGAGCCTAACGGTCGTCAAATGTTTATTAGCTGAAATCGAGTCTGCATCATCTTCTTTTGCTTCATCTTCGCCAAACAGTTCCTCCATTTTCAACCTAGCCGAAGTTGCAGTAAAATCGACATGTGGATAGAAGACAGGATTCTTGTGTTTTACATCGCAATCATTATCTGGACGCACTGGACCTCGATATCGGAATATATGCTTGAAGATGATTACACAAGAGGCACCAAAATGCTTTTTGAGGAAAGAAATTATCTCGTTAAAGTATCTGTGATGTTCTTCGCTTCCTTCATCGAATTCCTTATTTGTGAATCCTTCGTATTTTTCCACCTCAAACCCGTTGATGTCGAGATCGACACTTTTTTCCTTGTCCCACAAATCACGAGTGGTGAGACGAGTAGCTAGTGGAACAAAATTTTAATTCATCCGACCCGACAAGCTGCTCGCATTGTTTTATTGAGGACAACCATCTGTCGTATGCGTCAGAAAATTGATCTCACCGATGATGTAACCGCCCATTATCAACTTCATGTAATTCGTATAAAAACAACGCGTATGCAAAGTGAAAGAAGAGACGACAGTCCCAAATTGATTCTCTTTTTCAATCTTATCTTTCTTTACTTAGAACAGAGTGACTTCATGTTTTTCTTTGCGGCGCAATATATTTGTCGGTGATAAGCTGTGTTCTTTTTTCTCTTCATTTCTCTGAAAGACACTGTGCTGCATAGCAGTAATGATAGAATTCATCACAAACGGACTTTGAGAATTCAGTGATATAGAAGTTTTATTTTGTACTAATTTCTAGTAATATCAATCAGAATTCCTCAAGAGCAATAAACTGTAAAAAAAAACCAAAGAATGATGAACGCTTAAAAAGGTTCATACAAGTGCAACGTATAAAAGGTTTTTTTCTATCGTTTATGAGAGGCTCATAAACTGTTCAATAAATACTTTCAAAAGAGAATATTATGGGGTTGATGAACTTTAAACACCCTTCTTAAAATAAGAGGTCATAAGCGTTCTAAACCTCTTCAAATACTCTTCGAAAGGATGCGATTGTAAGTGTGCAATTGGGTTAACAGAAGATCCACGCTCTTCATTGGCCATATTTATTGAAAGTTCACCACTATGATCCGAATGATTATAAGAAATGAATATTTGCCGGGGTGGAATGTTCGAATAACCCATCGATTTCCGTGAGACAAATGCACTACTGATCTTTTTTCAAATTGACGGCTGTTGCGCCTTTGCCAAAATCCAAACAAACGAGATCATAGATAGAGAATTACATTTAGACCTAGCCAATATAATTGATGATTTGTCTTTTTACAAGATCATATCCGATTATTATCATTCATTGTTGTATCTATGTTCTATGGCGCCCTATCGACATATGCTTTTGCTCCCATGTTCTTATAAATAGCCAACGTACGATGAAAAATGTGTCGTACTACTTACTTCGACTCATGTCGATCAAGTAGAAAGAGAGAACGCAAAAGATACTTATCTTAGTCTTTATTTTCACCGAAGAATATCGATTAGAACAGCAAATCTATTTTTACCTTCCCAATACTGCCACACACAGCAATGTAGATTCATTGTTCTTCTATTTTTTTGACGCAATAGCAACGACGGAGAAATGATATCAAGTAATTGGTTTTTTCCAAGTCCCTGTCGAGTGTCTATCGATTTATTTAGTGAATCAGTTCTCAAATGCAAACTAACGATCAATTAACTCGATTCATATTTTATCTTTTTTTGATATCGATTTTATGCTATACTTTTTTGAAAAAAATCCCAGGTCGACTTTGGAGAATCTGTAAGTATTTTACATATATTGGGTTGTAACATAAGTTCTACAGATTTTGTTGTTAATGAACAAATTTATTTTACGACAAAGATATGCAATATCAATCAACAATGCAATCGCCATTATTTTCGAAACTTGGGCCCATCTTGCTAGCAATTGTTCAATCAGACATTTGCAGAAACTAGCCGGTTATGATTCGAAAAAGGCAGTGAAATTTTGTTGGTTGACAAAAAAAACCTGAAGAACTAATGTTATAACCCAATAAAAAAAACAAAAATAGAAGAAGACAGGAATATTACCTTCTTTTGTCTGTTATTCAGACACCTGCCAACACAGTAGTCAAGCTGAAAAACAGTTTCATCGACAGAACAGTTTGACAGATTTACATGAAGCTGTAGTGAACAATTCAGAGGCTAATGTTCGAAAGGCCATCGTCGATGGTATTCCAATTGACCTTATTGATCATGCCAGTCAAACAGCTCTGTACTACGCTTGTGAACGAGGTTTTACTAACTTAGTGAATATTTTACTCCAGCATGATGCTCGCCATGATATTGTCGATTTGAGTCACACATCGCCTCTCTGGGCTGCTGCTCAAAAAGGTCATGCTGAGATTGTTCTTGCTCTACTTCAACATGGAGCCGATCCCGATCAACAGGCTAACGATAACACAACGGCTCTGTATCACGCATCGTATGAAGGGCATCTCATTTGTGTCTATCATCTCGTTCGATTCAAAGCATCGGTTCATTTGGCTAAGAACAGTGGTGCATCACCGCTCTTTGTCGCTGCTCGAAATGGACATTACCGTATTGTTAAGCATTTGCTTAAACACGGGGCTAATCCATTTCAAACGCAGGCTGATGGACGATCACCACTACATACGGCTCTGCTCTATAGCCGAACTCGATGTGCTCAATTACTCTTCGCATGTGATCGATTACGTTGGATTCCTCAGTTGGATATTTACGGCTGGACGCATTTGCATTTTCTGGCCAAGAATGGTAATATTCGAATGGCACGTCTTTTCTTTCATCATGTGAGTCGCGAGTTGAAATCGATCGATTTCGAACAGATCGATTCATTTGGTAATACACCTTTGCATATCGCCCAGTTTTATCGAAAAATTCGCTTTGCTAATTATCTGATCGAAAAAGGTTTCGATATTGATCGACCGAATTTTTTTCAATGGACACCAAAAATGATCGATGTAGCTAATAGAAAGAACCAGACTAAGTTCGATGAGTCTTCACCAAAAACCTATCTGACCCAATTGCTGGGCATGCATCGCATTGATTATACTTCGGAAGAAGATGAAATGCGTCAAGAAGTAGAAACTTATGTGCAATTATTAATTGTCAAAATGGAAAAATTCGATCCACTCTTTCGTCATGATTTGATATGTAGTGGTTCCTATTACGAACGAACACGAATCGGTGTACCGAATGAATTCGATTATATGATCAATTTGACGGAAATTCAACGCCTCTGTACTTTTGTCGATGATATCAGCTATCCACCTGGCTACGGTCGGTTGTATCCATTGTCGATGGATGAAGCACATGAAAAACTTCGGCCCTATTTAGAACCGATTACACAATGTGTCTCATCGATGAAGATCCGCAAACGATTCTATCAATTGCTCACTTCCGCTCGCGCATTTGTTATTCATCAAGAAACAATACAACAATTCAAACATCTCAAATTTGAATGGACCAGTGGTGATAAACGCTGTGGCACAGCTATTCATGCCGAATGGTATGGATCTCAGTATGCTTCATTGACGATTAAAATCGATGTGGTACCCTGTTTAACCATTTATCGATGGCCATGTATGGCCAAAGTTGCTTGCCCTCTTGCGAAACCCGAATTTCAAATCATTGCACGCAGTCCGAAACCCGATCAAACTGATTTCTGGCGTATCTCGACTTCACGTAGTGAACTTGTCGGTTTTCTTTCCTTAGTCGATGAGATCAAAGATGCTTATTTAAGTTTAAAAACTTTACGCCATATCAATCCGTACGAATGTCGAATCGATAAAGTTACTTATGTAGCTGACGAACTATTGACATCTTACATGATAAAAACTGAATTTCTACATGAAATTAGTCGATATCCTCAACGTCAACAATGGATCAAGGGTGGGCTTATTCATCGTGTGACGAGTATTCTCAAACGATTACATCGCCATCTTCAACAAGGATCGATTATTTCGTTCTACATTCAGAATTACAATGTGATTGATGGAGATGATTATGCTCGATTACGTTCGTTCGAAATCAAATATGTCGGCAGCCTTCTCAAACAAGTTCAAGAGAAAGCAAGAATGATGGATCGACGAGTGACTCGTAGTCGAACATTTGCTGGGAGCGAGTCGATCGATCCGAATCTACCGCTTCGAGTACGAGCATCGACGACCTCATCTTAGGAAATAGGAGTATATGATTTAGAGAAGAAATGTCGAATTGAGAAAAGCGTTAAGAAACTTTCGTGTACATACAAATCCAGACGTTTAACAATACTGTTTCACTTCTTGAAGGCGTAAATGTGGATGTGAAAGTGTACTTCTTTCTCGTATTCAGATCAAACACTCATTTTTTATATTCACTGTTAAAAATTCTTTTATCGTAGCCAACTTTAATCTTTCCACATCGCTACAAAACTTGAAAGAAACTTTAGGCAAACTAAACAATGAGAACATGTAGTTATTGAGCAGAAGCAAGCAGTTGCATCTGCTGGAGTATTTAATTCAACTGATGCAATCAGTGTTCAAATTTTCTCAGTTGTTAGGTAAAATTCTTCGTCTTTGTTATTTTTGTCAATGAGTTCTTTTACTAACATGATGTGAGTGCTCTGAATATTTATGAATAGGTACTAACACCTACACCCCCACACCCACACTCTTTCATATTGCCTCTCATTTATTATTTTCTTAGAAATCGAAAAATAAATGTCAAAGATCTTTCCTTTATTAATAAACTAGCGAGAGCCCGTGCATACTGCACGGCTGTTTTCTCCTTTAACGTATGAATTAAGACGTTTAACTTTTCATTCAGGAACAGACATACAGACACTCGATATTATGTATATAGATAGATAGCCCTATGGTCTCATACTCTTATATCGCACATGTTTTTATAGTCCATGTAGCCGTCAGCCCTATAGCCTTGTATCGCTTGTAGCCTTATCCCCTTATTGCCTTAGTCCCTTGAGAACCTATGGCTACCCCCATATTATAGCTCTTCATGTTCTATAGATATACCATGTAATAGCCCTGGAGAATTTATAGGTACCCTCGTATAATAGCTCTTGAGGACCTATGGGTCTCCATTAAAACAACTCTTGGGCCTTCTCCTTATAGCCTTATTTGACCCGGCACAGACACACAGACAGACACTGAACATTATACATAGAGATTGTTGATACGAACAATTATGTATACTATTAAATAATATCACATAATAAATATAGATCTCATTTATTTACTAAATAGAAAAAATGTTGTTGAAATTGTTCTCATATTTTATTTAGATGATCAGTTTAATCTATGAAAATAAGCTATCAGACAAACTGATTCACTGTCATAATCAAACACTTCCAGAAGTTCCGTCTAACGATATGTCTAGTTTGATCGTCAATTGGTGCTTTTATTTCATTTATATACGTTTTTTTTATGAATCTGAATAGTATTTCTGTTGCTCTGGATGATGATATTAATTTGTTTACTGCATATATCATGTTGTATAATTACACGAAATAGCAAGTTACTAGGTCAAATAATTGTAGAGATCACCTAGATTCTCTTTTTTTGTGTCTACTGTGTCACTGTCTCCCTCGAAGACTGATCGTTGGATATGATCGAAACTCGAAAATTCGATTTTACGAACGAGAAATATGCTTTCGATCGATCAGGAACCTCCGCTTTACAAGCTCATTTGCCGTAAAATTTAGTTTGTTCATTTCATTTCTGAATATAATTGAGTACGGTCGAAGTTTCTTTTTTGTGACACAAATCCAATGGAAATAAGTGTACTAAATAACAATCACATTTTATTTCTCTTATTGATGAAATATTTTTATCTAATGCATCTAGAATTAATTGTATATTTGTTCACGAACTTCTGAGACACTCGAAAATTATAATGACGAGCGTGTTCTATAAGCGTCTTGTTGTTTTCTTAATCAGTCATTAATTGATGAAGACAATACAGAGGACTTCTCCAACTTACATTTATATTTTTGATTCGATCTGAAAACTATTGACATTGGATGTTTAAATCATGTACCAAATAAAAGAAATTATAACTCGAGGTTGTGGGTGTGGGGTGTGGGTGTAGGAAGCCGTCAGTTCGGATTTTTTTTAAGAGAAAGGCTACATGAAAGAAGCTTGTAGAAACCTTCTAGAGAAACTCTTTTCAATGGAATTTCGGTTTTTTGTAAACAACGATATATAATATCGCTCTTCGGTCTATAACTATTCAGACATAATGTGAATACGAAGATAAATGTTGTGTATATTCAAGAATTGACTAGCTTTTTTTCACTAGAAATAAGACTATTTAAGATTGAATTGTGGAAACATGTGTCTACTGTAAGAAAATTTTTATATTTTATATTTATTGAGGAAAAATATTCTGGTTTATTTCTCTCAAGTTAACAGAAAACTTAGTTAACTTTGTCCTTTGTTTATTACTTCAAATTTATGTATCGATATATAACAACCGGGCTAGGGATTAAAAAGAAAAATTGATTGGTCTATTTAGCTTTAAAAATGAAAAACAATGTAGAATTTAATCTTTTCATAGTCTCCTTTGATGGATAGATATTTGACTGCAGTAAAAGAATATTTGATGAATTGTGAGAATAAAAGGCTTTCTTTTTGTATTGTGTAACTAATGCTTCGCTCCATTATTACCGATCGCATGAATCAAAACAGGATGAATGATAAAGGGTGAAGCGTTGTTCATGGTAAATAATGCCAAAAGAGGTGAATAGAAAATTTGGAACTTTGTTGTAGAATGATACGAGATTTGCCTACAAACATACTTATTCTAGTGAAAGTATAACGTAGAGTTTTGTGATGCATTTTGAATAGACACTTCAAACTTATGAATTATCATCTTTATTCATTTTCCTTAAAAATTCTTCATTCTAATTAGAAATTATTGTCATTTTACTATATGTTTCATTTGCATTACTTCTTGTAATTGCATTAGTTTATATTCGATTAATTGTATTATTTCGTCGCTTACATAATCTTAATAATATGTTCATTATCAATATGTGCTTCAGCATGATTTTTAGTTCAATCTTTTGCATCATATATTGTAAGATGTATATATTTAATAGTAAACGTTTAAATATCGCAAAAATGTGCCTTGTTCTATTTTATTGCTACAGTGTAGCGATTGTTGGAGTGCTATATACTTTTATTGCATTTTCTGTCTATCGACTTTGTCAATACTCTATCCAGTCAAGACCTTTTTCAAGACAAAGCAATGGTTTCTAATGTGTATTTCGATTTAGTAGATTGTTCTATCAAACCTCTCATTACCATTTGTTTTTAGATGGAAAAACGTGAGTGAAGGTTATTGTTTTTCGAAATCCACGTTAAAAAATCTTTCAGAACCTCCATCTGATAGACAAATGCTTTTTTTGTTCATCTTATTGTATTTAATTCGACATTTTACATCAATGACATTGGTTTTAAACGAGAGCAAAATAAAGTGTAAATTTAGATTTTATTTTTTTAATAAAGCCATGAGAAAGAAAGTGATGACTTTAAAAAATATTTGTCAAAAAATTTCGTATAAAAATTTCGCTGATAGAATAGAAATGACTGAATATTCTATTGTCTTCAAAGCGTATAGAAAAAATGACACATGTTCAAAGAAACGGAGTATACTCTTGGGACTATAAAATGAGATGGTTGACGTGATGAACTCATAGAAGAATTCTGGTTAATATTACTTATAGCAGTTTTCGAAGTATCTAATGAAAATTTCGCAAGTTGACTTTGAATCAATTTTGGATGAATATTTGTTTTATTTTTCAGTAGACATTAACTTCTAATTTTCTATTTAGTATTGCTATAATGAATTATGGATGCGAATTTATAAATGTTTAGTGGCTGTTTTTGTACCATCAATAGTTAATATTGTGTTACATGTCTTCATATTTAAACATGTACGGTCCTCGTCGCGTCGTGTTCAGCCGGCATTGGTCAATACATCGACGAACATGAGTAACCAGCATCGAAATTTACTTACTCGTCGTGAAATATGTTTTCCATGTTTATTGAAGGATGGCCTCCGATTGCTTTCATTATGATTATCGATCATTTCTCTAAGATCGATCGCTTGATTATACGAGTCGGTCTTTTAGTTGCTGAAATATGTGCACTAAGTATTGCTATCTATTTGTTCATCTGCAATTATGAACTGCGAAAACAGTTAAAGAACACATATCGAGTAATTATTAGACAATAGTGAAACAATTATTGTCATTATTAAATATTTGTATGTACATTGATGTTTTTCCTGCAAAAAATAAAATAAAATAAAATTTAAACTGATCGAAATCTATTTATTGTTGATTGAAATTTTATTTGTGCTTGTCTCTGGGATGAAAAAATTTACATTCTAGCTCCGAATTCATACAACATGTTTTCACATTATTGAACATGAACGAAAATTATCACGGACTCGAGCTTACACAGGATAGCAGCGAGAAAATGATTAAATGAGAATAAGCAGACAAAAATATTGATTGAGCTAAAAGAAGTATGCTTTCATCAAAGACAAATAAACAGAAACAAATTTCTTTTTTGAAAGCAGTTCTTTGATGAAGGACTACTGCTAAGTTTCGCATACATTTGATGAACAGCTTCTAAACTTGAACCTTTTGCGAAGCAAATTCATCAACAACATCTGATGATTTACTTATTAAACCTCTTTCCTTATGCTCCAGCAATCTTTGTTCAACATGAATCCTGTTGATTTATACTATTCAATGAGTTTTAGAATACACATCAAAGAATTCAAAAATCTTACAAAATGATAGTTAGATTCCTTAATAAGTTTACATTTCTATTTGCTTAAAAGAAAGAATTTATTGTTTTTTTTATCAGAATCAAAAATTCATTACATTTGAAAAAGATCAACCTTCATGGTATGATAAACTATGTTTATTTGTATAGTCGAATAAAAAAAGCAATCCGATTAAAAAACCTATCGTATCAGAAGTATTGTTCTATATGAATAGCATCTTATATCATTGTCATAGCTCCTTGTTCGATAAAAATATATCAGAATCACATATAACAAGAAAATGACGGATGCTGTTTGTCCCATTCATTAGTAGTAGCTAGACATCGATCTTGTAATTAACTCCAATCGATTCTAAAAGGAAAAATACATATGAAAATAC